TCAACAATTTTTTTCTTAAGGTTAAAAGAAATATAAAGTTACTTAGCTAATTCACAGTGATGTTTGTAATATACATAATACTCCTACATTATCTAAAAATAAATATATTGTGACATTCATAAAAGATTGTTTTAGATATTATTATGTTTATTTGTTACATTCTAAAAATAAAGTACTTGTTAAGTTTAAATTTAGAAATTTGAAATTGAATTTCAATATGAATCCTTTATTAAATGCTTGAGGTCGGGCAATGGTTAAGAGTATTATAGTCAAGTTACTTTAAATTATAATCTACCAAGTGATAGCTCTTTATACACCACAATAGGCTGTGTACCTAAAGGGAAGAACAAATCATATTCTAGTCTTGGACAAAGATTTTGGTGCAAAGCTTTATTAATAGCTTGTTATATACTAAATAGATTTGGTAACAAAGAAACAAAAATAACCTTATATGAGCAAAGAAAGAAAAGAAAACCAAATATTTATTATTTAAAGGTTTGGAGATGTAGAGTTGTAGTTAAATTTTCAAAACCTAAAAGAAAAAAGTTGAGTGAAAAAGGAATATAATGCATATTTAAAGGATATGCACAAAATAGTAAAGCATATAAGTTCATGATAATTGAACCTAATGATTCAATTTCAGTTAACATTATTATTGAATCAAGAGATGTAATTTTTAATGAAAATATATTGAAATCTGTTTTAAGACACCTACAATCACCATAATCAATTCATCCTACAAGTGAAAAAGAAATTCCAAATTCATTACAACATATTGAAATTAGTGATGAACCTTGCGAAGAAATAAGGACAAGCAAAATGGTTAAAAAAGTAAAAGATTTTGGACCATATTTTTTTATATTTCTTATGAAAGGGACTGGTGAAAGCATAAATAATAAAATTCCTTATTGTTTTAATGTGGAGTCTAATCCTATTATATATGAAGAGATAATGAGGTTTCAAGATTCTATTTTTTAGAAAGAAGCAATAAATGACGAAATAGACTTAATAATAGGAAATAACACTTAGATTTTGGTTAACCTTCCACCAAGTTCCAATCTAATAGCTTGTAAATGGATTTTCAAAAGGAAAATAAAATGGATGAAACCATAGATAAATTTAAAGTGAAGTTGGTTGCCAAGGGCTTTACACAAAAACAAAGGATTAACTACTTTCATACTTATGCTCTAGTAGTTAGAATTGCTACAATTAGGCTTCTAATTTCACTTGCCTCTATTTACAATTTGGTTGCACATCAAATGGATGTAAAGATGGCATTTTTAAATGATGAATTAGAATATGAAGTATAAATGGAACAACTAGAAAGATTTATCATTCCAAGTCAAGAGCATAAGGTTTGTAAGCTATAAAACCTTGTTTGGATTCAAGCAAGCACTAAAATAATGGCACAAAAAATTTGGTGAAGTCATTCTTACCAATGGCTTTAAAATTAATGAGTTTGATAAGTGCATATATAGAAATTTTGAAAATGGTAAAGAAGTCACAATTTGCTTGTATATGGATGATATGCTAATATTTGGTATTGATTTAGAACAAGTTAAGGAAACAAAAAAATTTTTATCAAATAATTTTTCAATGAAATATATGAGTATAGTGGATGTTATTCTTAGAATTAGAATAATTCAAAATGATAGTGGCATAATCTTGTCACAATTACATTACATTGAAAATTTACTTAAATTTTTTTATTGTATTTAAGCATCTACACTTATGGATTCTCAAGTAAAATTAGCATCTAATACTGGTAGGACAATTGGTTAGTTACAGTATGCAAGAGTAATTGATTACCTAATATATGCAATGACTTGTGCTAGGCTAAAAATAGCATTTAATGTTGGAAAGTTAAGTAGGTACATAAGTAATCTAAGTAACTTGCATTAGCAAGCAGTTAAAAGAGTACTTAGGTATTTGAAGAAAATAATCAATTATAGATTATGAAATAATGGATTGTGTTAAAAGAGTAATGAAATAAGGAAAGATGAGTAATATACATTTAATAAACTCATAATATAAATATGTTAGAATGCTATAGTTATGAGAATACATTTGTTGGGAGCTACTTATGTGAGTGTAAAGTGTGACCACTTCTAGGAATTTAAGAGCTTGGCTCTAACAACATTCATGAAAAGAGAATGTAAACATTTAACCAAAAAAGTGTCACCAAATACCGAGCATTCATTGAGTGTTGAAATTGTTGTGTGAGAGAAGTTCGATTAACCAAATGGAGTAGCTAGTTCAAAGCATAGTCTTTTCATTAAGTGAATGTTTTAATTTGAGGATACTTTCATTTATGTAATTGATTTCCAAGATCATTATAAATCTGGATTATTTTAAAAATTGTGAAAGATTGTTAGAGATTTTCAAAATAAGATATGAAAAATAATCCTATATTAAAAAAGGAAAAGATAAGACAATCATTTAAATCCCACATTGAAAAAGCAAAGATGGACCATGGGCTTGAGTTTTCTAGTGTGGTTGGTCTTATATGAATTAAATGATTAATATATATATTAATATTTAATTAATATCATTTGACATTCAACGTGTAGTAAATAAAATATTATTTTATTTAGTTTAATTTTTAATTAAGTGTTTGATTAATTAAATTTGTTTAAAATAGACAGATAAAAACAAACAGTTAAATTTGTATAAAACAAAAAGAAAAGTCTATTCAAATAGATAATTTTGATTATTAAAAAATAGATAGTTTCTGTCTATTCAATGTAGATAGTTTTTGTTTATTCAAAATAAACAATTATGTCTGTAGAAAGAAAAGACATTTAAGTAATTATATAAGCTTTTTTTTATTTTTTTTAAAATACATAAAAAATTTGCAAAACACTTTTTTCTTCTTCAAATAAATTCTAGATTTCTTTTATAAAGTTTTATTATAGAAAATTTTTATAGAAATTTGATTATCTTGTAATAGGTCGATGAATGCTCGATGGATTGATTTCTTTAGTGGCTTTATTGTATCCTTGAAGTTTATCGCATAGGGGTGAGTAAATGGTCAATTCGATTTGAAAAAATCAATAACCGACTTAATCGATTTTCATTTAACAAATAATCGAATCGATCAAATATTATTAAATAACCGACAAATAAATAAATCTCATTAAAAATATTTTTGTAACTAAAATATTCCAATATATTCATATTATAAGTTTATTAATAATATTTACACATCATTATGAAGTTTAGATCAACGTGGGCCGAAGCTAAGTCTAGCTAGTAAAGCTCAAATTAAAATAAAACCGCTTACGACTTTATCAACTTGAGTCCTCATTTCTCAAAATTTTTTTTCTATTTATTCTTTTCAATGATTTAGATCGGTAATTTTTTTTTCTTTTCAATGATTTATATTTTTATCATTTCCCTTTTTTTTTTTTTAAATAATTCAAATAAGAAAAAACGCATATGTACAATAAAAAATAATTAAAGTTAGGAGGTGTTGCAAAATTAAAGTGTACGAGTTTAATTTGGACACTAAAATAGTTGACTATTCAAAGTTTCATGGTAGTTGGCTGATTTGGATATCCTATGTATGGGTGTCATATTAATTATTTTTCAAACGCTTCTGTCATTTCCTATGAAGTTAACCACATTAAAATACATAAGGCATAGTTGGTTGCTTCAATTAAAAAAAATTGAAGTTTAGTAACTCAAGTAAGAATTTATAATACATAAGTGTAGCAGCAGCCAATTATAATATATTTGGTTTATTGCAAAAAAAATAGTTTGTAATGCAAGATATACCTACAATTTCCTTCTTATGTAATAAAAACTGTTCGATAGTTTATTTTATGAATATGTTATATATATTTTAATTTTTGCTGAATTTAAAATTAAATTTTTTTTAAAAAATTCATATATTTATTATTGAATCAAATACTTATTTAATTATTTTTTATTGTTTGTTATATTTATCTATGATCAATGACCATTAGGTGTTAACAAATGTTCATTCATTGTTGAATTCAACAAGGAGAAAAGGAAGAAAAAAAATGCAGAAGACCAATTACATATTTTTTTGGTTAAAAAAAAAAAAAAATCAATTCCTTGTAAAATTAGAGATAGATTATTGCAACAGTCTTATTTCAACCACAAGCATAGAAAATTTTGCTAAAATTTAGGCAGAAGAAAAAAGTTTTCTGTTCATATAATAATGCAACCATTATGCTTACAGGATGTTTGGTCTGTGGAATGACTATGTCATTACCTACTATTTTATGCTCAACACTCAATGTTAGTGCCATGGTTTGGTTGAGAGAATAACCATTCTGATGAATAGCCATTCAACTCTAATTTCTCCCGAGGGGGAATAGTCTCTTTTCCCATGATAATAGCTATTTCCGTGGATCAAAAATAAAAAATTAAAAAAAAACTGTACATGATCATTTTATCATATAAAAATTTTGTAATTTTAGTCCTTTCGTATTATCATTTTTATTTTTTATTCTCTCTCTTCTATTTTTCGGCAAAAAAAAAAAAAACTTTGATGACTCTATTTCCACCGGCGAAGCACTAACCAAATATCAATCATCGGGATCGACGACTGATAGCGTTAATATGGCGACTAGTAACCACAACCAGATAGCACCGATCTGGTGAAGGCAGCCCTAATCTAGTACACCACCATCGGTCTGGTGGCAGATAGCCTAAATCCAAAAGTCTAACAACTGAAATTTGTTGATCTTAGGTCGAAAAGCAACTCCGACGACGAAAGTATCTCACTGATGGTAGGGAGGGACAAATTAAGAAAACGAGGAAAAATTGAAAAAATAAAAATTATACTTGAAAAATTTTTAATAACATATTAGAGATTTGAATATTAATATTTAATAAAAACTAAAAAGGTAAAATGATATTTTTATACTATTTATATTATATTCTTTTTCACACTTTTAGTTAATCAAATATTTTTATAATACTGTATTTTTATTCTATTCTATGAACCAAATTATAAAAAAATTATTACTTTTTTTTTTTTTTTTTTAAATTCTATTCTCAAGAATAGCTATTCCGCATTATGCAATTCAGACGTGCCGTAAAACGGTTAATCCTTGACTTTGCTTTCACGCTGGGCTGCTTTCTAGTCACCTTTTATTCACCTGTTCTTCTCCCTGTCCAGCCGGGTCCAAAATCCAACCACAAAATATTAAAGAGGAAGCAAAGATGTTATAAAACTAACTAAAAACAATAACTCCTCACTTTGCCAATTTGTCATCCCATGAAACACAGGAATAAAATTTACTAATCTATAGTTTTCTCGGTGATCCATTAGCCCACTTTTTCTTGCAGTTTCAACAACCTCACATTCAAGGAAGAGAGTTGAAATATTAGGATTTTGGAGACCGGATTTAAAGCTGCTGCTTCATCTGCTTCTTACTAGTAATGGAGTTGAAGGACAGGCTTGTAAGGTTAGTAGTTTGCTAATTTTTCTCATGCTTACTTTTTGTTAGTAGCTTTTTTCTCATTTAAATTTTCTTTTCTGGGTAGTTTTTCTATTGTTAAAAGATGCTGTGTGGTAGCTGGGAAAGTTCTGCCAAGTTTTAGATTTTCCATTAGGGACTAAAGAAAGATGGAATTTTAGTGATAATTCGGAGCTTTTTTTTTTTTTTTTTGCCACATGATAATTAGGAGCTTTGTGAACTAATATGGATGAATTGGGTAATGCTTTTCTTACTTGGGGGCGATTGGAGGAGATTAAATCAGGAATGTTCTTGCATAATGTTTTGGCTGTGTTCAGTGGAGTGGTGATGGAACTTTTACATTTCTTATTATCTTTTTGCTGGTAAAAGTGAACTTTTTACCCAAGTGGAGTTAATCTCTTTGGGTTTTAATTGTCTTGGAACTAGATCATAATGAAACATAAATTCTATTAAAAAAAGTAAGTTAAAGGGATTTCTCTCTTTGAACGGATTTGCTGATTAAATTGGAAAATTTGGAAGTGCCCCTTATCTATGAATGAGGATTCTAGATGATGTAGCTATATTTTCGAAATTAAACATAGTGCCAAAGGGTTAATTCAGTAACCACTCATAAGAAAGATTTTGTCAAACTGAATTTTAGGTTTGCCAAAAAAAAAAAAAATGAACTAATCCTAGTCCTAGAATCATGAAAATTTTCTTTTGTATGCGGAAATAATTTCTACTTTCGGTAAAGAGTTTTATGAAATACTTCCATATTGAACAATTGGAGTTCTTTGGTGAACTTGTTTATTTCTAGGTTTTATTCTGATGGTAAACAACAGAAAGAAGCACCATGGGGAAAGAACGACCCTTTATTCCTTGAAACGTCATCTTCTGGGTACAAGATTTCATTTTCTTCAGTGCTGAAACCGGAGAATGTGATGGTTGGAGGAAGAAATAGACTTCCTGAAACGGGAAAAGTTGGAAGGTCAAAGGTTTTTCCACAGGGCAATGCACCATGGTACAGGAGAATTCTTGATCCTGGCAGTGAGGTTGTGTTACAATGGAACCGGGTTTTCATTATTTCATGCTTGGTGGCACTTTTCGTTGACCCATTGTATTTTTATTTGCCTGCCATTGGAGGGGATGCAACCTCCTCGTGTGTAAAGACAGACACAAGCTTGCGAATTGTTGTTACATGTTTTCGAAACATTGCTGATATTTTTTATTTGTTGCACATAATTATAAAATTTAGAACAGGTTATATTGCTGCAAACTCAACAACTAGAGTGTTTGGGAGGGGTGAACTTGTAATGGACCCTAAGAAGATTGCATGGAAGTATCTTAGATCTGACTTCTTCATTGATCTCATTGCAACACTGCCTCTTCCTCAGGTATCTGTTCTAAAACGCAAATTTTCTACTGAAGGCCTACTTTAATTATAAAAAGATAAAAAAGGAATATTATTTGCCTTCTTTGTTTTGCATTGTTCTGTCACATGGACTCAACTGCAAATTTAGTAAAATAGATTGTAAATAACTTATATTTCCACGGAAGTTAATTTGAAGTGCTGTGGCTTGGACGTTAATTGTGGTTCTGTGTTTTCCCTAATCAATCAAAACAGGACTTGTGGGCCTTATGACATCTTTTTGAACTATTACAGATATTTTTTACTCATTTTTCATAAGTGTACAATTTAGAAGAGGTTATGTAATCATCCATTGTAGATCAAAAGGATTTTGGTTTCCTTAATTAACAGATATGAGGCATAAAATGTTTCATTGTACATGACTCACTTCTCTTTGTTTCTTATTTGGAGTTTGAGCGCATTTTACATTTGTACAGAAGATTAGTTGTCTCCCTTTTCACATTTATATACAGTAATTAACCCTTTGCCATTCAAGGATATCTTGAAGTAGAGTGCTTTAGCCTTGGATTCTGGTGTCATGGTTAATTCCATGTATTTCCCTATCTTGATAAAATTGAATCACTATTATAGTTGTGGTCTTCTAGTGTTATTTTCTTGTTTCGTTTTCCTTTTTTGTAATTGTTGCAATAATTCTGGGCAGACTCCATGCTATGTACCGTGCTAAAAGACTTGAAAGTACATTGGTAGCCTACATCCCAATCCTTGGATAAAATGATTGACAAAGTGGATGTGTGATTTCCTGTTTAATGCATCAGGTACTAAAGATGAGAAAGATGAAAGTGCAGTTTATTTAATTATTTTTTGCAGATAGTTATCTGGTTTATCATCCCGGCAACAAGAAGTCCTCGAACTGATCATAACAACAATGCCCTTGCATTAATTGTTCTGTTTCAGTACATTCCCAGATTGTATTTGATTTTTCCATTAAGTTCACAAATTATTAAAGCAAATGGTGTGGTCACAAAGACAGCATGGGCGGGTGCTGCCTACAATCTTCTCTTATTCATGCTAGCTAGCCATGTATGTTATCTTATTACCTTTTGATTAGCCCTTTTCTCTGCTTTTGTGTTTTCATGTGTATTTTGCTCTCTTTGACAATGACTAGCTGGGTATTTTTATTCAATACAAAATTTTCCTCACTCCTTTTGCTAGTTTTTACACAAAAAGATGCCTATTCATGTAGGTCGTAGGGGCAGCATGGTATCTGCTCTCTGTTGACAGGTACACTTCATGCTGGAAGAAAAATTGCAAAAAGGAATTTGCTCCTCTCAGATGTAATCTACACTATTTAGATTGTGACACTTTTGGCCATAATGATCGCGAGATGTGGACAAATGGCACTGATGTGTTCAAGAACTGTGATCCCGGAAATGTTATTGATTTCCAATATGGCATATTTGAAAGTGCAGTAACAAAGAATGTTGTCTCCACGAGCTTTCTTGAGAAGTATTTCTACTGCTTATGGTGGGGCTTACAGCAACTTAGGTACGATTTTATTAAACTTCATGGATAAAAATAATCATATATTGCAATCTTATAAGTGTTGTCTTTATTCATAGAATATACTGATGCATTTTTTTTGGGTAATCTCCTGGTGGCTGATGAGTGCAACCAAACTGTTCAATTAGTAGATTTTTTTATTTCACTAACAAATAATAGTTTAGGTTCCCATATAGTAGCTGTATGAGATTTCACTAACCACATTGTGTTTGATACTCTGGCAATTTAGTGAGAGTCTTGTTCAGATATACTTTATATGCAATCAAATGAGTTCTATGATAATAATAATTATGCAATTGCTGCATGGTGGTTGCATTTGTATGGAAATTCAACCATGTAGAATTGCAAGTTCATTTATTTGTTAACATCAGAACTTTATTGGGGTTTTCCTGTTTTTCCTTTTAAAAATGGAGTTATATTTAGAAATAAAGTGATGATGTAAGGGAAAATTGTAATTCCTTCCATTCTGAAACTATTTCATGAGATACGTATGAGTTGTTGGTCCGATAATTTTGCCCATAATAACAACTCAAAGAAAGGTCTCTGTCATTTGACAAGGTGCCATCAGAGGTCTTCCTTGTGCTCCAGATGTCCTAAAGCCCTGGAGAAAGTATCTTTAATTAAATTAAACTTTTCCATACATGACTTTTTTTTTGGCCAGATTTTTCCATACACGGTAGTTAAAAAATAATTGATGCTATATTTTGAAATTATTGTGTTACATTATCTACTTAATGCTCGTGAATTATGTTGCATGGCCATAAGGAAAATGTGATGGTTCATTTGTGAATTTGAGCTTGGAAATACCTTGCTAAGCACAAGTTATTCATTCCAGCATTCTCCCCTGAGACCTCTCTGTCTCTCTCTTTAGTCTATGATCTTGCATCACTGCCAAGTATGAGGCATATATATTGGACTCTATATATGATATATGGTTGAAGATATGTAATAATTTGAGATTGTAGCTGAATTTTGATGGAAAGATATGGAGATAAGTTCCATGAAAAAATTTTCCCCCTCCTTCCACAACTTCCTCCTTTGTTCCCTTTCCGGTTTTGGTACCAAAATTTTGAACAGTTTATGTAAAGAAAAGAACCAAAAGCCAATGAGAGCAGCCAGTTAATAAGTATTTGTGAAGGCTCACAGAACCGTGGTGAGCATGTTCAGGCAGGAGGCATAATGCAATATGCTTCTGGTTTTAGAAGGGAACCTACTTGATCTTAAAGGCATTTGCAGCACATCTAGAAATTGTGACAACTTCAGTGATGCACCTGATATCTTGCCTGTGATGTTGTAGTACTCCACTTTTATCATCTAACTGGTCATATTCTATTGTAGGTTCTCGGAGAAGTTAGTATGAGACAAAATTGTACCTCATTGCTACAACTTAATATGTTAAGTGTTTCAGTTGTGTTCAATGAGATAATGTTCCTGAAACATTAGATGGAAAGATGTAAACCTTCACCACAATAGTGATTAATAGAAGAAAATTGTTTCCTTTAGACATGCATCTGAAATGAATGAAGATCAGATGTCTGCTGGTCAATTTTATGATTCTCTAAGCTTGTTTGGAAGGATGGCATTCAAAATAGATGGGTTGCATTTTTATGTGCCCCTAGGAAGTAGTAGACAGGCATACAGTAGGATCAAACATTCCAGCTTGCTATTTTCAAAATTAAACTAATGATGACTGGAAATCCATTGTAACATCTTTTGTCAATGGTTTTGTAATACCTATATCATGAAGGTTTGTAGAGCATTTGCACCTTTTTTTCCCATATCGTACACAGGAAATTGCTTTGCAGAAAGGACTAGTTTATCTGATCTAATACTTAAAGAATATAGATGTCATTCAATGAGATTCTTGTGTTTACTGATGTTGATACGTGCCTTTTGTTTTCTTATCATCTCAGTTCCTATGGCCAGAATTTGTCAACAAGCACATTCATTGGGGAGACACTATTTGCTATACTTATTTCCATCTTGGGTCTTGTTCTATTTGCCCATTTGATTGGCAACATGCAGGTATCAGAAAGTTTGCATCCTTGACTTTTGCCTTAAATCAAATTCACATTCTATTTTTAGTAACTCAAATGAAGTTGTGATGTATATTGTCCATCATCTTGATTCTGTGTTCATGAAAGGATTTTTGTGTTTGTATCCCTCCAGTAGAATGTGTATGAGTAGTTTTATCTGTCAAAACTTATGGTACTATCTTTCTTGAGTTGTCTATTTTTAGCAGTTGAGATCTCCTTTATCTCTCTTCCCAAAATAGGCAAGCAGTGAAATGGGAAGTAGGATTCATTCTTATCTAGTTCTTGTAGTTGTAAAAATTCTGCATTATGCTTCAATCTTCAAATTAATTTTAAACTGATTATTCATCCTCATTTGAAACAATTATTTTTGCATGTTACTTGCACATTCTGATAGTTTACATTTTTTTATGTGATACAGACTTATTTGCAATCCCTCACAGTGAGACTCGAGGAATGGAGACTTAAGCGAAGGGACACTGAGGAGTGGATGAGTCATCGCCAACTTCCTGAAGACTTAAAACATCGTGTTAGACGTTTTGTTCAGTATAAATGGGTTGCAACTCGAGGAGTTAATGAAGAAGCCATCTTGCGTTGCTTACCTGCTGATCTTCGTCGTGATATTCAGCGCCACTTATGCTTGGACCTTGTTCGACGTGTATGCAGCTTTCCCATATCAATTTCCTTCTATGTTTTGAACGACCGCTGTTTGCTTAGGTTATAGATGTTTCTACCGAATAACAGTCTTGATGGAAGATTTTCCCCATTGAGTTTTAAGAGTCATATAATTATCTACTTAGAAATTGGTGTCTTCTGTTTTAGCATGAGTTTCCTTCTTGCAGTGCCTTCATCTAGTTAAGATCTAGGTTAACTGCCTCAGCAGCTATATGTTCTTCCCTTAGAACCTGTCTCTTAGTTGGAATAAGAATCCATACATTCGCATCTACCTTTTAGTGGTGTCTGTGTTCCATTATGAATCTTCCATTAAACGACATCAATATGTCAGCCTCAACAATGATGCTGCACACATTTAGATTAGATCTGACCCCAAAATGTTAATATGTTTAGACCTAAGCGTGGATTTGCAATCTTCCATATAGTATTTCTTTATATTTAATCATAATTGGTTTCGTTAAAGTTTCTCATTTGCAGGTCCCTTTCTTCTCCCAAATGGATGATCAGCTGCTTGATGCAATATGCGAGCGTCTAGTATCATCCTTGAGCACTGAAGGTACCTATCTTGTTCGTGAGGGTGACCCTGTGACAGAGATGCTCTTCATTGTTAGAGGTAGATTAGATAGTTCTACAACTAATGGTGGTCGAACTGGTTTCTTCAACTCAATTGTACTGAGACCTGGAGATTTTTGTGGAGAGGAACTTCTTGCATGGGCTTTGCTACCAAAATCCACCATGAACCTGCCCTCTTCAACTAGAACAGTCAGAGCTTTAGTTGAGGTTGAAGCATTTGCACTACATGCTGAAGATCTCAAGTTTGTGGCCAATCAATTTAGACGACTTCATAGCAAGAAACTACAGCACACCTTCCGGTTTTACTCCCATCATTGGAGGACATGGGCAGCCTGCTTCATACAGGCTGCTTGGCATCGGTACAAAAGGAGAATGATGGAATACAATATGACCATGACAGAATCATTAGCTTTGAACGAGAAAGAGGATGACGAGACCGGGCAGGAGGAACAGAAAATTTTCACTGCTGGCTCCAATCCTTCTCAGGCCAAGCTGAACCTTGGAGTCACGATATTGGCATCAATGTTTGCAGCAAATACTAGGAGAGGAGCTCAAAAGATCAAAGATGTTGAGATGCCAAAATTACAAAAACCAGACGAACCTGACTTTTCTGCAGATCCTGATGATTACTGATTGTTTGCATTATGATTTTTGAAAAGAGTGTATATTGACTGAGCTTCTCTACATGGGGTCAGACATTTTCAGTACAATAGCAGGTCAGAAACACCTTCTAGGTAGGATCTGGAATCCCAGATATTGAACATCTTTTCCCTATTGGTGGAAACCTTACCAATCCGGTGTTGGACAAGAAGTGCATGTCGTGGAAAGACAAGGCGGGGGTATTAGTGTGGTCGTACTGGAGAAGGTTGTGTTGTGCACTACCTGTATTTTATTTGTTGTCGGATATGTAGGGTTTCATCAGATGCAAGCTGAGTCTAATCCACGAGCCTTAGAAAATACTGAGATATTAAAATTTATCCCCACGAGCCTTGGGGTCTTATCATTCTGATTTTCCTGTAAAACTTGGTAACATTTACTCATAAAATGCGTCAGTTAGGAATGCCTTCGGCAAGAAAATTGGCCTGAGTTTCGAGTCCATCTTTCTTAAATTTAATTTCTTTGCGGTCATTTTGAAGTGGATAACGCTCCTCCGAGGTCAGCTAAGTAAATCTTCTGAACATATTGTAGCCAGAAATTTAGCCATGACACAGCAGAGCATTTGTTTATGCAATTAATGACAAACATTATAAGAAAACTTTTTTTTTTTAAAGAGCCAGGTTTTTGAGTTTTATTCGATATATCTTTTTTTCTGGATTAATTATTTAAATTTTGCCCGATACATCCCTTTTTCAAGCAAAACTTATTTACACTAGCTTTAACCATCTCAATTTGGTTTTGCACGCATCTACTTATTAGCCCGAGTTTCAAAGTTGACAGTTTATCATCATTTCTCACGCTTTGCATTTCCCGAGTAAAATTCTCAGCTTCCATCTTTTGTTTCCCCAAATCATGCTGTAATCCACTAGGTGTGCATTGTCTCCTAGGTATGGCTAGTTACGTATTAAACAAGAAATTAATAAATAAGCACAATACAAGTTTCCAATCACCTTTTAAGATATTGAAAGAATAATTGTGGCCGCGGAGGAGCATATTTTTTACAAGAGAAATTCTGACTCCTAAGTTTGATTTTATGCTTGGATGGAACCTTTGAAGGATATGATGTTCATTACAAGCATTACTGTCAGACCTGTTAGAGAAACTATCATATACGGAATTAATGATTGCAAAATGGTCTTCTCATCCTCTTCCAGTCTTCAATTTGCTACCTCATTTAGGGGCCATACCTGTCTAAGTCATAAAACTCTATGTTGTATTTTTGAGATATTATCTCTGCTTGAACTTTTCTTGCAGTATCAGTTGCACATCCCACAAGAATAAGAACAGAAGTGCCTGCAAATCCTCGGAATACGGTCAAGTGTGTGGTTTGCTCAATCACGGCAGGACCAGCAGCCAAGATTGCTAAAAATACTGAACCCAAAACTGATATCCGACTAAGAACCTATATTCCAATCATAGACGCAAACATGAGTCCATCAAAAAATAGGAATGGAGGTTTAAGTTAGAAATACAGTTAAATTCAGCTATAATCCCTTTTAGATACATTATCTAAATAAAAAAAAAGATTTAAGTAAAAGGAGTGGAAGATAAATATATCTATTACCTACATGAAGAGATGGTGTGGATTGAAATAGTATTTCAGGAACCAGCATTTCAAGTTATGATGCATTTCTTTGTTTTCTTTCCTATTTTTTATCTCTAGAATTAGAGAACAATAAGTGTTAAAACTTTAAAATGAATATCTCAGACCATAATATGAACAACGACACACAAAATATGTAGTTGAAGACAAACAGCAACATATATCACCTGATCAAAATCAAGCTAGCACAATAAGCCTCTAATGACATTTTGCTTGAGAAAAGAGAATTACCGTCTTCAGAAATGCTGCTGTACTTTTACCAGGTCGGACCAGTGGAATTGAAGCACCTTGCCGTTTCAGTTGTTCGCTAACATCATCAGGGTCCAGTTGTAGGAAAGTATAGTAGTAATTGAAAAAGGCTATCAACAAGATATTCGTAGGAAGGTAGAGAGAACCTACAAACATTTAGAACTTCCAATTATTCATGTAGAAAGATGAGAACTTCAACTGCCAATGTCTCAAATAATAGCATATTCTTTAGTCCATTCTTGGGATTACACCAATGACGATTAGAGAGGGTTTATTTATTTTCCTTTCCCCCTTCTTTTGGCAAGAAAATTACAGAAGTTATGACAGGCAATTCATATCATCTACCTATGTCCGATGAAAATAGGATTTAATCACTGTAGCAAAGCAAGAAAAAGGAAAAAGAATTATTGTCCTGCCATTGCAATAAAGAATCCACCAGCTCAAGCATTTATTTAAAGCTTTGAAAGAAACATGACAAGATTTGAACCCTTAAATTTATGATTTATCACAGCATGTGTCAATGGGAAAAGATTCGTTAACCGGCAACTTTTACAGCAGAAAACCAAATGGATTATAGAGCCAAGAAATATCTTATATCAATCCAGTATAAATTTTCATCCTTTGAGAACTTCTAACACTCAAAATCATTAATTTTACCTCCAGGATTCAAAGCAACAGCAGCCTTCTTTAGCACAGATATGCCGGTAAATCGTGCTAAAGTACCAGGAAGAGCTAAGGATGATGTAGAAAATATAATTGGCATCACTCCAGAACTGTTTACCTGTTTGGCCAAAACAATTGAATTAATACAAAGACAAGACACTACATGTTGAAGGTAGGGTAGCTGCACGTACAACACCCAGAGAGAGAGGTTGGTGTTAGGATGAAGCTAAAGCAAGAATGTGGTAGCAGCGAAGTGCATTGAAAGTTTGCATGATCAAAAATACCATCACACTGTCAGAAACTTCCATCTCAATTAAATAAATATAAATCTTCTATCAAACACTATGAAATTAGCAAATAAAATCTAAACAAGTTAAAGTGTCAGCAACAGACGATGGAAAGATAAGCTAGCAAGATTTGAATAAACACAAAGAATTCAGAATGCATTTATCAGCAGCTAAAGGTAAAATTTTCCATATAGAAAGCATAGGGGAAGAAACAAAAAAAAAAGAGAGAGAAATTTTCACAGGAAAAAAATGCACAACTTTTTGAGAAATAACAGTGGTAAAGAGATGGAGAAAGTCTTCCTTTCTACAGAAACTAACAAGCAACAAAAAGAACAATAACAAAAATAATAAGCCTTTTCATTCTATGGGTGTTCAGCTTTATGGATCCTATTTTGCCGATGTGCTCTATTCAAGACATGTTCTCAATAAGCTCAGTACTTGAGTGTTAATTTTTTTCAGTTTCCATCTGTGTCCTCCTTGGTCTTCCTCTTCTTCTCTTGATATGGATATCCTAATTAAATCACATCTTCTAATGGGAACTTTGCGGTTCTAGTTTTTGACAAGTCCAATGCACCTTAAACATGTTTCCCTCAATTTGACCTTTTGGTCCAACTCCCACTTTTTCCTTTTTGAAATCATTCTTAATCTTATAAATATGTATATTCTTATATGTGCATCTATAAAAATAAAATACTCATCTCAACCATGCTTGTCTTTAGTTGTCTAAAATCCAATCTCATCCAACATTGTGCACAGAAGCTGACAAGGAGTTGAAAATCATCTCAGCTTGAAAGTATAGGCCAGAACACTAAGTTCTAAGTTCAAAAAATTCATCCTATGTTCACATTCAATCTCCCAAAAGATTCTTTTAACATTTAGGCTTTTCCTCCCATAGGTTGCCTAGTTCCTTGATTAGTAGTTGCAGCATGGAGGCATCTAACAGGAAATCCCACCATTTCTCCACTTGAGAATGTCATTGTTTCTTTCGATAGATTCAATAACTTCAGAGGTTCTTTCTTTTGATATGAGATTCCAAAGGTTCCAATTCACAATTCGATCAGACTATAAATAATATTAAATCTACCATTTTCTACCATATTTCTCTACTGAAATGGCATCACCTAGTTCCAAATACTACAGGTGTCATGGTTCAACAACTTGCAAGCATAGTCACAAGAAAGGAATGGTAATCACGTGATCTTTGCATATAAGATGCACCTAGGGAAATGCATTAAATGTCTTCAAGCTCATCTTTGTGATCAATTTGATTTCCTAAAAATCATTGACTAAGACATGATCAACATAATAGAGTACAACATTATCATCATTATCACAAACCATAAGCAAAATCCATTTATCCGTGTACTTCAGTTACCTACAAAAGTGAATGATGTTGGAGAGCATGCCTCAATGAAAGAATATCAACCTTAAGAATTAGTCAAGGCACAAATAATATAGAATTTTAACCCATTTTATATGTCAACAGTCAGTGTCAATGATATGTTTCTCCATTGAGTTTTCATGCAAACAAAGAGTCCACTCTAATTTCATTACACCTCAATGACACCAAAACTATTAGCATCAAGCCCATCACAGCATTAGAACCTTTTAAAGAACCATTGGGAACGCAAACCTTAAAAGGTAGGTAAGCAGATTTTTGATGCCCTCCACTTCTGCTGGTGTATCTTGAGGCATAGTTGATTGGAATCTTCCTCTCTGCTTCCTGAAATCCTTTGTTGAGACAATTATTAAGATATCTTTCCCGTTAGTATTGGAGCTTCTATTAAACAAAATAAGTAGGGTTACCTGAACATAGACAATGCCAAGGACCAGTAGGAAGAATGAGATAATGATGGTAAGAAGTCCAATGTAGTTACCATCCTCATATGCCTGTGCAACTGTCCTTCCAAAAGATGCTGGCAAGTAGGACAGAATATTCGTAAATATTAGAAGAGATGTGCCATTTCCAAGTTTTAGATCAGAAATTCGTTCCCCAATATATGTTGTAAGTACAGCACCAAGCGTCAATAGAGTGACAGAGGAGAGAACCCACTGTGTGCTAAAGTCATTGACATATGGACGAAGGTAAAGTACCTGGCCAATTGCCTGCCATGTAACACAATAATAAAGGAGAAATGCTATTTAGCAATGGTCATCAGCATAAGCATATAAGATGGAGTGGAAAGGAAAAGGTAGAAAGCAGGACCTTTTAGACGTGAAACAATGATACAGATCTAACTTTTAGGAAAAGGTGCATGTTAGTAATAGTGTTCTGGACATATTTGTGATGCATTCAAATGCATGAAATACATCTAACAATCAGATGTAGTCTGCACAAAATTCATTGTCATAGACAAAACCAGGAACACCTCCACGATTAATAAAGGTCTTGCTGTTAACAGGAATTCATAGCTAAATTTTCTTATTAATATCTATTTAAATTTTCAAATAATACTAATAATTTAGCAACAAGCAATGTGAACTTATTACCGTCACAACCTTTTTGATCATGTTACATAAAGCAGACATCAAGTCGAAACTACACAAAGACTTTATATCTAGTTAGCTAACCTATTAGTCACCAAGGACGTAAGTTCCTTACCTGTACTATAGCAAAACCAACTGAAGCATATCTGGTATACTGAAGAACTTTCTTTCTTCCTGCTTCTCCTTCTCTTTTCTGAAGATCTTGCAATTTAGGGTAAACTTGGGCAAGGAGTTGAAACACAATTTGTGCATTAATAAAAGGAACAATACCAAGGGAGCATATACCCAGTCTACCAATGCCTCCTCCAGAGA